CTGCGTGATTCCGGTGAGCTTGCGGCAAAACGGCGTGAGAGTCTGGTTGGCTGTCGGGCGCACAAAGGAGTGGAACTCGTGCTCGACCTGCAGCGTGCGCAGGTTGAGCGCCACCACAGGGAACTCGATGATCTCGTGCTCCCACGGGCGGCCGCGCGCGTCGCAGGTCGCCTCCACGTCCAGCACCAGCAGCCACTCAAACGGCAGCGCATGCGCGTCGGCGAGAGGCCTCGCCTCGCGGAGCACTGCGCCCTCCTGGCGCGCTCGCTCCTTGGCCTCCCCGCGCTTGCGACGCGCGCTCCGCTTCGCCAGCGGCGCCGCGCGCGACTCTCGCACCAGCTCGACGAGAGCGACCCGCTGCGGCGCGCCCTGCGACACCGCGGCGCACGGCACGCCCGCGCGGACGCGGACGGCCTGTGGCGGCTGCAGTCGAAGCGCCACGAAGCCCAGGCTGAGGGCCGTCAGAGCGAGCCACATGGGGGCCGACCTCGCGGGTCTAGAGACAGTGTTGTCGTGCCGGCTGCCTGCCCGGTAGTCAGGCGAAGAATTCTTCAATCGTGCGGGGAGACAGGCTTGAATTCTTCGACCCTGTCCTCCTCCCCCATCCCTCGTTTGGTTTGCCTGTTTTCTTTGTTTCTTCCGATAAACTGCAGCATCTCCAATAACGCGAGCGTAGCGGGAAGAAAGTGGTAGCTCACACCTCGCTGTCGATGTCCCGGCGTTCTTCGGTTCGTTCTCTGTCGTTCACATGACATGTGCATGTGCATGTGCATGCACATGCACATGCACATGCACATGCACATGCACATGTGCATGCACATGCACATGCACCATTTGTGCCTGGTAACGTGATGTTGTCCGCGTCACGTGCAGCAGGCCGCTTCGGCGTTTTGACCGCGCAAGACATAAAAGAGTGGCGCGAAGGGCTCTGCCCGCAAGGCGCCCGCGTCGCAGACGCAGTACCACATTGACAAATCTGCAATATACCCCCACACGAACAAATAGCAAAATCCGAATACCCGTACCGTGCACAAATGAGAAATGTGGCGATGTGAGCGGGGGCAAGCCTTAGCTGGTGCCAAGACATCCGTAAAGTTGAAACCAAGAACGTCCGCCAATTACGTGCTTTCGGCGCAACCTGAGTGAGGGGAAGCCGCTGATCGAGCCCAGCGTGCCCGCGGCCGCCTCCCGCGCAGCACCGCCGCTGGGGACGACACGCTGCGGAATCGGATCGAGCCCATGGAAGAGGAGGGCAAGGGGCGAATTGGAGGCGGAGGAGGAGGGCGCAGTCGACGAATGGGAGGAGGAGGGCGCAGTCGACGTTGGCGTGTCTGACTCAGAGGAGGAGTTGGAGGTGCAGCCATGGGTGCTCCGGCAACCTAACCTGATCCAGAAGCTCGCCGACGTTGTCACTCAACGTGCGTCATGCGTGATCGAGCTTGAGGGAGGAGCTCCGCTGACGATTCGGCCGGCCACCCAACGCCGCCGCCCATACCCGCCACCCACAAAGCGCCTGCTCTACTATCCCGTACCACCCGCTCCACTTTCCACGGATCATGCCCGTGATAGCACCAACCATCACTGCCGTCCTGGGGGTTTTGAACGTGGCAGCTAGACTCTAGGAACTCGGTTGTGACC